TTGTTGGTAGCAAAATTCACCGCAGTCAAGATCTATTGTGCCTATTTTGTACAAGGCGATTGTGCCACCCATTGTCTCCTTTCAGCGAGTGGTGAGGGCAGATCAGATAAGATCTAAAAAATAAAATTCAATCTGCACCAGCTTCCAGTAGGACTCAGCCCATTCCATCACACAACTAACCAGAGACAACACCTGCACTGAGGGCGCCCTCAGGTAATAAGAGATGTATAAGCCAGCATAAACGGGTAAGCTGTTTTTGCACAACATACCAATGCTGTTTCATATAACATACCAATTCATTAAAATACAGTCCACTGCATAAATTATTTGAATGTTGCCTATGTTGAACTCATGAGAGTTATTTGCCTTAATTAAAATTTGGAAACTTGCCTAAACAGTGCAAATTTCTTTTGTGATTTTAGTGTCTTTGATTAATAGTACCAAATTATGGGCATGCCCAAGCACAGATAATTTCCACAGATAAAAGAGAATCACTTTGTTTTAAACCCAAACAAAGCTCAAACTTTTCTGAAAAATAATTATAGATGATCTAAAAGTTTTATCATATACTTGAAGGTGTTAGGTCTAAAAATCAATTTAAATAAAAATAAATTGATACTCTTTCCTAAAATGAGTATCACAATGAATTTTCAATGACTGTTGGTCAGCATCCTATCTTAATGCTTCATCTAGGTAAACATTAAATGAACTTAAATACACAATGAGAGTTCATTTTAAGAGGGCTCAAAAACCATCTCAAATTATTGTCTTGATGACACATATTTTTTCAGGAAATTTAATGTTCAATAACTTGTTTCTCCATGACTTTTTTGTAAAATTAATAGATAAAGAGTTAGCCAGTCAAATGAAGCCAAAATTTTATTTTTTTTAAATTAGCGAATTTTGAAGGTGATAACTATGAGAACGAAAAAATTATAATAATCGATTCTGTTGTAAAATGTTCACCTGTTCTATTTAATTAAGCATTAGAACATGAAAGGTGATTTGTACTGAAAAAGTTTAAATCTGAGGGAAATAAAATCTGAGCTAAAATAAACTGATGATTTGGTACTAATAAGTATAGCCAAGGAAAATGTAAAACTAAATATGAAAATTTTGATGAGAGCAGGAAAAGAACTGCGGCTTAAAATACATATAGACAAGACAAACTATATTGTAAGCTGCAAAGACAGAGACCATTTTGGTGATGTGTAACAATGGAACAGTTATAATAATAATTGCATATTGAAAATAAGTTAATTGTAATCATATCATAATATATTGTGATTCCTTCATGAATTTATTTCGCAAAAATATTTCTCTTAGAACCCTACCTGTTACATGGCGCTCAACTAAGGAAAGAAGTACAAATGATATTCAATATGGCACCTAAAAGACACAGTCTCAGAAATTGTACTATCTCACCGAAAACAACCTCAAAGAGATACTTTCATCCACTGCAACAACCACATATGAAGCTATTAAAAGAATTACTGAAGCAACTCGCCCATAAGGAAGTCTCCTAGATTGTCCGTTTCCTTTTGATGGACTTTCAGACCTGGATCGATTCATACCTGGCATCAAACTTACAAAAGAGAGAATGTTGAAGAAACCAGAGCACTTGCTGGTCTACAACATCATTTATCCGGTATAGCTGCTCACTGGTACTAATGTAACTCAAATTCTATAACATCTTGGTCATACGCAATTATGTTACTCAAAGCAACACTTAAAGTAATCCAGCCCAACTCTAATAAATTCCTAAATCTAATAGTAGCATTAGGGTATGCATTGATTACTGCAAACTCAATGCCATAACTATCCTCGATAGGTACCGAATGCCTATCATTAATGACATCCTGCATTTAGCAAAGGAATCAAAATACATGTCAACCTTAGATCTCCGATCCGGGTACTGGCAAATATAAATGAGAGAACTCGATAAAGAAAAGACTGCATTCATCTATCCACAAGGAACATTCAGGTTCCTTCGAATGCCTTTCGGCCTTTAGAAACTCTGGTGGGTGCTACATTTCAAAGACTTATCAATCCATTTCAATCCTCTTTACCACAAGTCAACATGTTTGGATATACAGACGACCTCATAGTAATATCAATGTCTTTCAATGAACATATAATTGATTTGGAAAAAGTCTTTCAATGCCTTGAAGTATATAAACTTAAAGTTAAATGAGAAAAAGCGTATTTTACAGAGAATCGGTTAAATGTCTTGAACACTTGATCACTCCAATGGGTATTAAGGCTGATCCGTCTAAAATAATCGCTATTTCTGAATTTCCTTCTCTGAAAAGTCTCAAACTTCTTCAATCATTCATCCAGACTTGTTCATGGTTTAAAAAATTTATAAGGAACTTTGTAGCAATAGCCAAAGCACTCACATGATTAAAAAAGGAAGCAGCTCCTTGGCAATGGAAAATAGAACAGCAAAACTCTTTCAACCAATTGAAAAAGCTATTGACATCTGTGCCCATCCTTAAATAAATAGAAGACAAACCATTTACCTTTAGGTAGGACGTCAGCGATTACGCACTCGGGGCGGTATCACATGATGGTGAACACCCAATCGAATATGCTAGCCCCTTGCTCACTGGTGCTGAAAAGAACTATAACGTTACTGAATAGGAAGATCTAGCAGTTGTCTGTGCTATTGAAAAATTCAGAGGTTACATCGAAGGACCAAAAGTATCAATTGTATCGGATCACCAACACCTAAAATGGTTTATGAGGTTAAGATCTCCTTCAGGAAGACTTTCAAAGTGGGCTCTTCACTTGCAAGACTTTGATCATGAAATCATATACACCCCAGGTAAAGCTAATGGCATAGCCAATACATTATCTCGGCCACCTATCCATGCTGCAGTAGATGAGCATGACCCAAACATACAGCAGGCTTAAACTATTACTGCAACATTACCTTGAAAATCAGCTGCCTTGATAAGAACTATTACAGCAACATTACCTCGAAAATCAGCTGCCTTAATAAGAAAAGAGCAAATAGACGACCTTGAATTAGCAAAAATAATAAGAGAATTCAAAACGGCATCATCTGTCACAAAGGATACATGGTCAGACAAAGGATACTTTATGTCCAATGGTATTCTTTATCTATACAACCCATCAAGCAAAACTGATGAAACTCAACTCATAGTTCTAGAAAGCTATAGGAAAAATATGGCAGAATATCATGGCTCACCTACGGCAGGGCACTAATGGCATGGAAAAAACACTTTCAAAAATAGGTATCAAGTTCTACTGGCTTGGCATGAGAAGGTTTGTCACCGAATACATAAGGAATTGTGTTGAATGTCAACATTTCAAGCCTACAAATAAGAAGCCTCAGGGTCTGATTCACTCTGATTCACTGATTTTCTCGAAAACAGCTGAAATTATTTTGATTAAATTCATTATATCAGTGTAAAACTAACTAGTTTTTAATAAAATGTAATTTTTATTCTGATTTATGTTCTCTGCCAGAGGTTAAATGTCTAATTTTCAATATTAGTTTCCCTAAAGTACCTTCAATATTTTTAAACGATTGACTATTTCATATTAATCTCTAATATAAAAGATAGCTAAATATAAAATATGAAAGAATTTGATAATTAACTAAAGGAGAAATAAGAGATCGTAATGGAGAATAGTTGTAATTGAGCAACCAAAGGAATACGAGCGCACCTGAGCTCACTCGAAAGATTAGAACACGTTTTCATACGTAACATGAGCTTAATTTAATACGGACTCCGAAAATATTATGTAAATAAACATATTTAGTTTTCATAAATTCTATTGTTGGTATTATTTAATATTTAATTTTATAGATTACAGCGATATAAATATTAAAATTTGTATATATGAGGGTACTTATACAAATAAAAATACCCACAATGAAATATAAATAAATATAGCGTCTATAATTTTTATTTTCACTTCCCCCCTTTTTTTTTAAAAAAAAAAATACTTATTTCTGCTAAGAGGAGGGTGGTAAGTGAAAGTTGTGTGATGCGTGCACCGCACCAGATTTTTCTATTACAAAACTACTTAGCTCATGCCACCTGTCTCAAAATTTAATATTATGATTTACAAAACTATAATCCTTTCTAGGGTTCTTTATTTATGAATTGTGGTCGCTTACTTTGAATGATGAGCAAGATCTTGAGGTTTTTGAAAATAAGGTATTGTGTAGAATATTCAGACCAAAGGAAGATGAGTAAATCAGAGAATTTAGACGATTATGTCATGCTGAATTTCATGAACTGTCCCTGATAAATATTACTGAGGTGATTACCTTGTGTGAAAATAAAATAAGTGTATAAAATTGATGGAATAAGTTATGAAAGTTAGTCTAATTAGCGATTTACTATTAAAAATTAGCTAAGTTATTCCTAAAACGTTAATAAGCGCTGTGCTGACAGGTAAACACAAAAAAGTAAACAATTTCTCAGCTCCTATGACCAATTGGAATCAATTTGGGCACACATGTCAAACATTTTCAGATATAGAATCACCACAAACAAACTGCTTGATTGTGACCTCCCCTTGCTAGTCACAGAGGGGAAGAATAGTTGAATTAATAGCTTAACTTGTCTTCGGAGGACAGCATATTTCTATCATCTGTAGCTTATACCTCACCACTGCCAGTCAATGTGCTGTTTATAGATACTTTTTTAGTATTTTGATTTCAAGAGGAAATTCAGAACCTAATCTCGCTGGCTGATTAGCTTACTTAGCACTTAAAATTCTTTTGTAGACCAGGGACTTATACCTGACCTTATAAGAATACTAAAAATGTCTTTAATGAAATTGTCACTAACACAACATAAAAGTGTTGTCATTGTAACTTACCAATAAGCAGGAATTTGTTGGAAATGTACAGTAACTGATTTTGTTTAGGTTTTGATTGCGGTTTAGGTTGAGTAAAAACACTTTTTCATAAAATAAATCAATATAAATAATTTATAAAAAGTGAAAAAATGACTCACCCTATGAGTTAGAGCTGTTAAAAATTGTGACTTCACTTCAGTTACTGAGGCCCTATCTTGTGGCCTCTTCGGCCCAGATATACAACTAACCACAGTCGACAAGTCGAGTTCCACAATGTGGGAATAGACAGGATCTTGTGCAGCATTGGCATAATCTCTCAACATACCAACTGACTGGAGATACTTCCTGATAGCATCTATTTTGGCTGGATCTCGATCTATAAGAGTAAAGAAAATTATAACCATAGAGAAAAAATAAAACCTAACCAGCATTCTTGGGGTCATTACTTGATAAGGAAGTATTGATTCTTGACTAACGTTTATCCACGTAAGTGGTCTAGCATGGAGGATGAGATATAATATTCCAACCAGATATCATATATTCAACCAAGAGCTGATCTTCGATTGATATAACATGATTCATAATATAACCTCCTGTGACTATTGGACTTTTTTGGGGGGTCCACCCCCTTCTCCCACCAGAATGAAATGTCTGCGCCTACGGTGTAACTATTTTTTATTAATAATAAGGATTGTACAATTTTGCTACACTTACTTTGTTTTTGCATCAATAAATAAAATCAAAATTCACAAAAACATACTTAAAAGTATAGCTTCATCAATAAGTTATGTACAGGATACTCTAGTTGCTTAATGGTTGTTTGTAAAAGCTTTACACAATAGATAATTTTATTTTAATTTTGCATATAGTGGTCTTCTTGAAAAAAATAAACAAAAGTTTTGGATGTGGACAAGAAACCAAAAAAAAAGTTTCAAATTGTTTATATATTTTGCTAAAAAAAAAATGTTCCGAACAAAATTTCTATCAGCAAATTTCAGATTAGAGTTCAGCAATTCAAAAAAACTGGAGTGTATCAAAATTTACAACTAAATAAAAACTGCCCTATTTCATTTTATCTGTTACAGTTTGACTGGAGTATATACCACTAATATGTTTTATTCAAAGCATTAAAATTTCAATCTGTATTTCTGTTTTGTTTTTTTACTTTATTTGTTTTACAATCAAAACATTACAAAACTTTAGCAGGCTTGAAATCTGCCATCTGCAAAGTTTTGAAATAAGTAAATACTTTTCCATAAATGCATTTTCAGGTAACAGTAAAAAAGTTAGAAAATCTCTTGGCCATCTCCTTAAAAGTGGTCGAGCTGAGATGTACAGGTCTGTGATGGAAATAAGTTTTTAGGCTATTTGGATGTTTTTGTAGTGCTATGTTGCATTTTAATTTCCAAGCCTTTGTGTATTAAGCCATTTGCCACATAGAACGATATGTCAGCTATTTTTTTTTCAAAACTTTTGATTGAAAAGTTTGAATTTTGAGGATTTAAGAAGTTTTTGCAAAGCCTCATAGCCCTATGCTGTAAATCCCTTAAGTTTTTAAAGTGATTTGTAAATGGTGAGTTTGTTAGTTAATGATTGTGTGGAGCATTTAGGAGTAACCTGAATAATCCTTATTATTTGTTCAGTTGTTTTCTGTCCAATGTAGTAAGGATTTTCCATGTCAATCTCTTTTTAAGGTAATGTCTCAGATACTTCTTCAGACAAAGTAATAGCAATATTATTGAAGTATAACTATCCAATATTATGTATTTATATTTTTAATTTAATGTATTTAAATTTACTCTTTTACTTTACTGCAACAAATTAAATCAAAAATATTTAACTCACTTGTCTGAGAAAGATAATAAAGGCTGTTTTCATCAACCGGGAAAAAGCCAACAGTAGCACCATATTCCGGACACATGTTGGAGATGGTAGCTCTATCAGCAATAGATAACTCAACCACTCCAGGCCCAAAGAATTCGACAAACTTTCCCACAACTCCTAGTTGCCTCAAATTCTGTAAAATGCGAAAGTATTACTTATAAACCAATAGATAGACAATATGTCAATAACTAATAAGGTCAATAACCAGTACCTTGGTAATGGTAAGGACAAGATCAGTTGATGTTGCATACTGATTGAGTTTTCCAACTAGCTTATATCCAATGACCTGAGGGATAAGCATACTAATAGCTTGACCAAGCATAACGGCTTCTGCCTCAATACCTTTGCAAAAAATAATTCAATCAATAAATATGAATACTTATTAACATTTACATTTATCAAATATTTTATCAATTATAATTATAAGACAGCAATGCATTGACTAGATTAAATATATATACAATAAATAGTAGTAAATTCAAAAACTGACTAAACCATACCTCCTACTCCCCATCCGACGACACCAAGGCCATTAATCATAGTTGTATGAGAATCAGTCCCAACCACGCTGTCAGGATAAAGCAATTTATCAGTGAAAACCACTCTTGCTAAATATTCAAGATTTACCTGATGTACAATTCCTGAACCGGGAGGAACAATAAGCATGTTTCGGAATGCTTTGGCTCCCCACTGTTAAAAGAAAAAAAAAGTATAATAACAAATGATAAATTAAATAGCAATCAAACTTTATTTATCATATATTCAAATTAACGTTCATTTTATGAAAATACCTTAAGAAATGTGAATCTCTCCTTATTTCTTTCAAATTCAATTTCTTCATTTTTTTGTAGAGCATTATCACTAAAATAAAATTCCAGAAAAATATAAAAATGAAAATATATTAAGTTCAAAACCACTTTACAGTAATAACAAATATTTTCTATTGTGTTTCCATGATAAGAAAGTCAATGATTGGAGGCATGAAAACACAATGTGTCTTACATTTGCTTTTATCAGATAAATGATTAATTGTAATTGTAATACGGAGAACTAACTTGCAGATCCAGAATTTCATACTAAGGAACTTTTTTATTTTTTTATAAAAATACATACAGAAAATATGATGTTTAAGAGCTCCTTGAAGGCCTATTATAATAACAATAATAATAATAATAAAGAAAAAAATGTAAATACAAGAAAAATAATGTTTTTAGGAGTTTTTTTTTTTCTTGATACATTTAGTAGAATTATATATGTTAGAATTTAAAAAGATTACATATTGTGATTGTTTAAGTATTTAGCTCTCAAAGGGAAGTTATGGATGTCGAATCATTGATTTCAATGAAAATGTTTTGGATGATACTAGGTCAAAAAATATTTTTATGATAGAATTATTTACAGAATTCTCATTTACAATAAATATCTCACTCTAAAAACCTGTCTAGTTTAGAAAAGATATTTATATTTACCATACAGACATAGTATGAACACAATATTGAAATACTGAGTATGGACTGAAGGAGCTAAGTGGGTTCAAATATTTGTTTAAGGAAAAACAGAATTCATATTTGCATTTTGCACCTCACAAAACTCTTAAACATGAAATTTAATAGAAATTGGATGATAAAAATTTTTATTTCAAAATGCAATAGCCAAGAGAGCAGCCTTCGATATAAAAAAATTAAATAACTTCAACATGACTCCGCTTATCCACAAAAATATTAGTAGAGATTTAGGGCCCTAAAAACTCCACAAAATTGCACAAACCAGACACCCATAAATAAATTGAGCTCGGAGATATAAAATAAAAATGATTAAGGAGTTTTTTTTCATATTTATCCTTTATAAAGTTGTAGAATATAAGAGTTATTAATATGGTTTGGAAGAGCAATAATTCAGCTTTCCAACAGTTGTAGAAACATTGAATTAGAGGAAAATTCGGATGAGTTATAAATGCTTAAGTAAACGAGATGAAAAAATTTATTTCTCCATCTTGGGAAGAGCTTTCTTAAATTTATATTCTTTAAGTATTTAATTACTAAATTTTATTTTAATATTTTTGTTGAAAAATAGTCATGATGTGCCGTCTAAAAAATTAGGTTTATTGAACTTGCCGATGTTTCGACCCAAACACACATGTTTCATCATCAAGGCAATGGTTTAAAAGCTGGAAAAGAACTCTTTTGAGCAAAAAAAGTTATTTTTATATTAGTTTTTAATAATACGAATTCTTGTCCGGTCTTCAAATCATTGCCCTAATGATGACCCACATATTTAGGTCGAAACATCAGCAAACTCAATAAACATAACTTTTTAGCCTGTACATTCTGATCAATTTTTCATTCATCCTTACAATTTCAACAGTCAACTATGTATTCATCTCTTTAAAATTTTTATAGATATTTTTTTTTTTTTTTTTTTTTTTAAAATCCATCATGTAGTATCATTATATTTATTCTTTTCATTTCTATTATTCTTGTATCCTGGTTCTTTTGGAGATTATGAAGGCCTACAGGAAATATAGGCACACATTAAACAGCTCATTCCATTATTGTACTGTGAATAGAAATAACCATATACATGTTAAACGGAACGTACTTGCATATCTAATTAAAATTATTGATAGATTGTAGGTAAAGTTGACTTATTTACAGATAAAAACTTGGTATAGTAATCAGGTGCCATCTGAACCCCAACAGTACTCATGATTCTTTGATGTATTAACATTCACCAATGTATAGGATAAAACAAACTTGCCAGAAGCTGTAATGTGTAGTGGAAGTCAACCGACTACGACAAAATATTTCAACATTCAAATATGTCAATTTCATCAACAATCTATTAATCTGTTTCAGTATATATGTGTATATAGATAGAATCATTTCCGTAATCTATTTGTTCTTTTTTAAAAATTAAATTATATTTTATTTTAACATCTTTTAAGTATTGGCTATTTATATTGATCACATAATATGATCAACTATTTATATATGATGTCACAAAAATTAAAATAACAAAAAATAGAAAATATATAAAATATAATTAAATATTTTTCAAAACATTTTGATCTCAAATTGTTTTAAAACATTCATAGGATTTCACTGTATAATTTGAATTGATGAAATATTAATAAATTAGATAAATTATTAAATGTTTTAAGAACTTACACTCGAGCAAAGTCAACCTGGACTGAGTGATCTATAACAAGATCGGAAGGACAAATGGGATTAATTTTATCTGGATTACCACCAAGTGTTTTAACAGCATCACGCATAGCAGCAAAATCAACTACTGCTGGTACACCAGTCAGGTCCTGTTTAATGAAAAGAAATTTTTGTTTATAATTTTGTTGCGAAAATTGTTCACTATGCAAAGGTTAAAAAATAATAATAAACATAAAATTGATCAGAATAACCTCCTATGCTCAATCAAATACACACATCCCTCAATTTTCATAATTAATGCACCTGGCTGATCTCACATATTATGTGGAGGGAGATAATTGTTTGAATGTCTCAGGCAACATAGAATTTCTTGGAGATTGGTCATTCATCCCACTGCTTTCTATGCTTAATTTAAAAACCTAAAGTAGCCTGCTTTTATGAAATATAATCTTAGCCTGGTTACCTCTCTGGTCCATTGCTGATCAAGCAGGGGCTAACTGATGTGCACAGCTAGAGGGGATTCAGAGAACTGCACCAACACAGTTAAAACACTACTCTTTACATTGATTCTGAATCAAGAACATGTACAATAAACAACCTAGGGTCTCCAACCCTAGGAAGACCCATCGCCATTGGATAACAGAAAGAACTATATATGGCCTCGGAACAACAGGGCAGTCTAAACAGAAACGACGTTGCACAGAAAATGATTAAAGACTAGGAACTTGTAATATAAAATCGTTGATAGGAAAAGAAATTAAACTGGTTGAGGAAATGAAGAAGTATAAGGTGGATATGTTTGAAATGGCTGAATTGAAGAAGAAAGAAAGTGGAGAACTGGAGCTGGATGACGGGTATATCCTGATATATGCAAGTGTGCCAAAGGAAATTTGTACTAAAGAGGGGGTAGGAATAGCAATGTCTTTTACAGCATATAGCAGAGTTGAAGAATAAGAGGCAGTCTGCTGCAGAATTATACTCGAGGATCTCCAAATGACAATAGGTAAGATAACAATAATTAAAGAAAAATTCCTATGGAAGATGCTGGAATTTTGGACAATGAATTGTTCCACTCAGAACCCCATTGAGTGGTTGACCAAGCAGAGACCAAGGAAAGTCGGTAATCAATGTGGAGACTTTAATGCAAGATATATATAGATGAGACTATAGAATCTCATATGGTGTGCTGGAGCTTCATTGAGGTGAATTGAATAAGATTGAAAATGGCCAGCAATGGCTTGATTTCTGCATCGATAACAATCTCTTAGCAGGCAATTCCTTCTACCCACATAAGAAAGTACATAAAACTACTTTCTCAAGTACGATTGGAAATAGCGTCATCGACTATTTTATTTATGATCGAGGAATACGACAATACTTCAGAAATGTGAACATAATAGGAGGAGTAGAGATAGATACAGACCATCTGTTGTTAGTCATGGAAACCAGAATCTTAAGAACTCATAACGCTCAGCCTAATGTTTACTAGACAATAAAAGTGTGGGCTCTGGGCAATCCAGACAAGAGAAAACCATACTCTGCCAAGCTGGATGAAAACCTCAGAGTATTGGATTTAGATGGACATGCAGAGAAACAATGGAACACTCTCAAAGCTTCAATTTTGAAAACTGTCAAGAAGACCTTTGGCAAAATCACCAAAAGAGGCAAATACAGTAAATCATGGGACGACAGTATAAAATCAATTATCAGTAAAAAGGAACAAGCCTTGAAGTCCTTCCAACAGAATAAGATGCCTGATAACTTTTCTTAGTGTAAAAATGCGAGAAATGAGGCAAAAGCAGCACTTACGCGGCTAAAAAGAAAACCTTGGAAAAATTCAGGAAAAGCCTTGATCAAAATCATGGAAAAACATCAAAAAATGTTGGTGCATTTTGAAATTCGTGAAGGGCAAACAAGCAAAGCCAATGAGAAATGTAAGAGACAGAAACGGTGAACTACTGACAGAACCATGCAAAATATTAGATAGGAGGCGTAGGCACTACCTAGATCTCTTTGCTAATGAAGAAGCAACTAGAAAACAAAGAGAACGATGCTCTACGAAGTCAGTGAAGAAGCCATTAATGAAGAGGAAGAAGAACTGGCTCTGAGCAAATGAAGACAGTCAAGGCAGCAGGCAGGGAGAACATCGCCCCTGATTTCTTGAAATATGGGTCATGTCCGAGCTCATTAAAGTGCGGTAAGGGCTATTTCAGACTGTATGGGATACAAAGACAATTTTGAAAGATTGGGAATACAGCAGAATTACTCCAATCCACAAAATTCTTGTGACTGGCCTACAAAACATATACATATAATCTGTAAAAAAGGTTATGACAAATTGCGGAGGAGCAGGAAGAGGAACCGGCAGGTTTCTGTCCTGGGAGGGCATCTTTGTCCTATAAAATACATTAGAAAAGCATGGGACAGAGATGGAAGTACGTACCTAGCGTTCCTGGACTTTAGGGCTGCCTTCGACTTGGTCCTGCGCCAAGAAATATACTCTGGCTGCTAAAAATGTTCCAAGAGAATATGTAAGCTAAAAAGGAGTAGAAAGGATCAATGGAACATGCTCTACTCCTTTTCCGACTGTCAGTGGTGCCAAGCAGGGGGATTGTCTAAGTCCACTCTTATGAACTGTATTTAAGGATGAAATCCATAAAATGTGAAAAAGGTGAACAGCCTGAACAACCATCACTAAGTGGAACATGAAAATGATACTTAGCCAGTCCCTCATGTATGCAGATGATATCCTCATTTGTGATACGAAAGAGACACTGAAGCAAAGTTTGCTGGAATGGCAGAAGGAAATTTAGCAAAAAGGGATGCTCATCAATGCTTCAAAGAGTATGATGCTAGTCCTTTCCAGAAATGGGCAAATACTACTTTAAGTACCAAGTATTTTACTCAAATTGAATCACTTTTAGGAATTCAACCACTACTTCAGTTAATCTTTTGACATCAACTGAAATAGTTTTTAAATTCTTAGGTATTTAAAAAAGGTAAGTATTTGGATAAAATATTTGGTACTCAGTACTCATTTGCGCATCTCAGGTCCTTTCCCGAAAGGAGGAGACAGTGGAGGTGAACTCTAATGGTGAGGTTCTGAAGTTGTTGAGAACTTTTACTACCTCGGCACCAGAATGAATAGAAAGGGCCAAATAGATTGGGAAATAGCAAATACAATTGCTGAAGCCAATCAAATCTATTTTATTATTATTTTTTTTGTCCTCCCCTTCCTTGCCTTTTTAAGCTATGTGGGGGTTTCCTGCTAGAGGGTGAGTTAATTCAATCTTAGAGTTAAAAATCCTCTGGCACCGGGACGTGAACTCATTATTATTTTATCACGTTATTTTATAGCTAGGTTGCCAGACAACGCGCAGCGCTGTGCACGCGTTAGCCTGCTCCCAAGCCAATCAAATCTCTTCTAGTGTTTGCAATAGTATTGTTGGCCATCAAGATGTGGGGCACAAAACTAAGCTTCATATCTACAAATCAGTATATCTCCCTACTTTAACATATGGGAGTGAGAGCTGAGTCATGTTAGACAAGCAGATAAGCAGAATCACAGAAGTGAAATGAAGTATTTAGGAAGGGGTGAAGGAAAAACCAGAAAAGACTGCATAAGAAATGAAAGAATTAGGGAGGTGGTGAACATTTCTGCACTGAAATCCACTCTTGAAAAAAGACAGCTCAAGTGATTCGGTCATGGTTGTCAAATGAGTGAGGACCAGGAACCTAGAATGGTTTAGGAAGCTCAACCTACTGGCAAGAGACCACGCCACTTGGAAGGCCTACAATGTTATATGAAGAATATACCTAAAGAAATCAGGGGAGGGAGAGGTGAACTCCCCAACAAATGAAACAACTCTGCAAGGACTGTGAGGCTTGGCAGCATTGGATTGAGACCACTCTCCACTGAATATGACACAACGATGAAGATAGAGATAGATATAGAGTGAAACAAGACTGATTTCATTTAGGAAAATTAAAAGGTTTCAAAAAAGAATAATTCAGACATCTTCACAGTGTTTCTCTACAGTTCCTAAATCAATGTTTCTTCTATAATCTCTAATAAGTCAAAAGTCACCAAGAACTATAGAGCCCATAAGTTACTTAGATCAAGTTAAAATAATAACAGATCTAATTACCTGCAACAAAACTCTAGCTGGTTTGAAAGCTACTTCCACAGAACTGCTATCTTTTCCAGTCTTTTCCCAATTCAAAATATTTTCTACATCAGATTTTTTAACTTCAAAGTTATCACAGTTTCTGACAGCTGATTCCAGGAGCACTCTGATTGAGAAAGGAAGTTTTTCTGTAAAAAAAAAAAAAGAAAATAATAATAATAATATATTCTTTCTAAAATATTTAAATGTTATACATCATCTCATAATACTTCTACTGCATTGAATCCTTATTTCTTCCTGTAACAATCCCCAAATGAACCTATTTAGTGTGAATTCCAACGGTAAAATTCAAAATAGAAAATTATTATAACTATGTTACTTCTTTCCGTTATACAGTAGACCTAAGAAAGGAGAGTTTTTTTTTTATTATTTAGATTTTATTTGTGCTTCATTTAATATCCATTAGGCCACAAAAGAAATGACAAACTCACTGACTTCCTTCACACAGACTAACTTTCAAAAAACTAAACAATGAACAGAAAGGAGAATATAGGAATTCAAAGAAAACTTTGAGATATATTTTGAAAACTTGATACCAGATGACATATAGCCGGTGGATGAATACTCATCTTTTAAAATGCTATGAGGTACGTATCAGTCCCATTGAGAAAAGACAATGGTTCCTGGGCTATGATAGGTAGCAAGAAATCAGAAACTTTCGCTTACAACTGTCCGCCTATCCCACACAGACTTAATAGACATTCAAAATACATGTTGTTCAAAAAGTTTTAGATTACTCTTTCCAATATCTATTCCACCAAAACCCTTTACTCCTTTTGAGTTATTATGACAGATTATGAAAATGCCAACAAATAAGACTCTTAGTTAAGACCTTATCACTGCCGAATCATAAAATCCTCAGAAAAGCTTTAGTCTTTCTCACAACTTTATATAATGATATATTAACGATAACTAAATTCCCCATCTAATGAAAATAACCTACAATTTTAATGATACCAAAACCTAACAAAGACAGACATAAGGCTGATTCCTATAGATCTATTAATCTTCTTTCTTCCTATATGTTCCAAAATCAAAAAAAATATATATTATATGAACATATCTTTAATATACTGACAGAGCACATGTTACCACACCGTCAATTTGGATTCGGCACACCTTATTCCACAACACAATAACTACACAGAGTGACTGACTTCATTTCTACCGCACTTGAACTGAAACAATATGCTTCTGGGGCTTATTTGATGTAGCTCAAATGTTTGACAGTTTATGACGCCATAGTCTTCTTTTTAAACTAAAATCCATTCTTCAAAATGCTTAGAGCAGAAATAATTGGTGTTGTAAATTGAAATTAAAGCTCAATCATAGAAATTCACAACAAGTTACAGTTTGATTAAGACACAAAGCTTGTCCTTCAGTTAACATAGGCAATTACTCGATATCGCAAACAAATACAGTAACCACGTTGGATAATTTTTAATAAAAGGTTGAGATAGGGCAAACAAGTTAAGAAAAAATATATAACTCTAAGCTTCCAATTGAGACTATTTTATTCGATATTAGATAGATGTTCTAAATCATCTCTAAGACAAAAACTTAATGTTTATACTTATTTACTAAAATCCATATGGACCTATACTTGCCAAATTTAAAGAACTTCACCAATTTTTAAGGCTGATAACAAACTCACCACAATATTTCCTGATCATCTAGTGCCCTTAAGTGGTTCCAAACCTTTCTCACCGATCGCTCCCAGTATGTTGTAGTTCCTAATAACCCTCAATCAATGTCTCTACCTCTGTCCAGAGGCGTCCCACAAGGTTCCTCATTATCCCCCACCCTCTTTTCCATCTACATCAATGACCTCCCTTCCTCTATCATACACTGTCAATATCACCTATACGCCGATAACGTCCAAATTTATCTTTCTTTCTACCCGACAGATTCCTCTAATGCCATCCTGAAACTGCAACAACACATCAATATAATATACGCATGGGCAAATCTTAATAAGCTGACATTAAATACGGAGAAGACAAAAGCCATCCTGATCGGAACTCCCTCACTCCTCAAATCCATTTCAGCACCTCCTAATCTTCTTCTGAACAACTCACCTATCTCCTTCCATACCACCGTTAAAAACCTAGGCATTACCCTCGATCAAAGCCTCTCCTGGAAACCACACATCTCCCAAATTTCCTGCCGAACTATATCCACCCTGAAACAGTTTAACCATCTACGTTATCTTCTTCCGTTCAAAACCCGTCAACTCCTGGTCTCCTCTCTTATTTTCCCCCACTTCGACTATGGCTGCATGGTGTGTGGTGGACTCTCAGGAGAACTCGAAGCTAAACTTAAACGTCTAATGAATTGCTCAATCCGCTTTATCTTCGGGATCTCAGAGGATACGCATATCACCCAGTTCTACAACAAGTTGAAGTGGCTTTATCCGTCCTACTGCCGTCAATATTTCCTAGCTACCTTTCTATAGCAAGCCATTAGAACATGGTGACTTGCCTATGTTTTGCAGATCCTACAATTCAAACACTCCTTTCAATCCTGTCCCATCAGATCTCGTGCGTCCGACCTCTATCCTCGTCCTCACCAAACTGCTGCATTTGATAAATCCTTTTTAATACAAGTTGTCTCCTTCTGGAACTCTATACCTTCAGATATTCGACATGCAAAATCAATATCCTCTTTCAAATCTCTCCTCTTCAAACACCTACTCCATTCCCAATCCGAGTGATCACCAAATGCACTTAAAAACCTCAAGGTACTCCCAGATACTCTTGATTATTTTGTGATTCATCGATATTTCATTTACTTAATTACTTTCTCTGTATATTTTATATTTACATGTTTTTCTTATCTTTTTATTATTTATAATTTTATTGTATTCCTAATTAACCAGTGAATATTAAATTGTATTTTATGGACACACCAAAATATTAATACATATTCTGTATTTGTAACTTGTTCTAAAGGGACACTAGTCCCAGAATAATAAAATTATTTTCATTCATTCATTCATTCACAATTTGTTTCGAACGAGACCCTTCATTCAGACTTGTATGTTCCGATTACAACAAATCATATTTTTATGAATTACAAACGGTTTCATGACAAATTACATGGACACGACAATTTGTACAAAATATGGCAAAAACTGACATTCCAGATGTACTAAGGCGAAGGCTGAAAAGGAGTTTGATGAAGGACCTCCTAGTTTGAAATTTCGCTAAATGTCAGGAGAATGCACCGATGGGTAGTATCTCACTGATCCCATTGGGCTACCATATGATTTCTTTCCAACTACTGTGGCATTCATTGTTGTAAAAGGGGATTCTCTGACCATTTTCCAAAAACAGTTCTTTATTGGCCCCAGATCATTGTGGTTATTGAGCAATGTATTTTCCTCTCAAATCTTTACAATTTTCTATTCGAGGTGCTGGTCAGAGCCCAGATTTCATAGCTGTATATCATTCATATCATACCTTAGATACCTTTATTTGAGATTTTGGAGGATTTCTGTATCTGGAAAAATTAGATGTAAGCCCTATCTGCACTGATTATATACTAATCTGTCTGAGATAATTGATTGTGATTATTTAGTAGCCATGGTGTTTGATTCTGTCTATCCTCAGGAAAGATTTTCCATCTATCCTGATTCTACAATTAGGATAGATTTTTCAGATTCTTATCATATATTTTGTTTGAACTTGATTCACTGGTAGGCTAATTTGCTTTGCTTCTCTTATCAAAGTATTAGTGAATCTCACAATGTCTTATCTATTGTTTCTGAAGAAAGTTAAATCATCTGCATATCCAAGGATTTCATGATTCATTCCAATGGGTACACATTTATTCTTATCACTTTCTCCAGTGCTAAGTTGAACAGCTTCAGTGAGAGTCTGCCTGGCTCAAACCTGTTTGAACTTTGAAAGACCTCAGATACTTCTTGTTGTATCAGAATTTAGCACTTAGGATCATTTGTATACACCTTCGTCAATCTCACCAGTTTCCATGGTAAATCTCAGCTTTGGTATAGGAAAAAATACTTAACCCAAATTATACTAAATCTAATGATACTTAAATTATTTTAATAATTATAATAGAATTACATTTGAAACCAAAATACTCATAAACTTTTATCAATCAGCCTACTCACAACAAATAAGATCCTGTCACATTTCTGATCTGAGTAGATCTTCCAAAAGAACCAAAATATAATTGCTTTTGATCTCAAAGTTATAACTTAGCAAATAAATTCCATTTGCTTTCTCTTTCTTTTTTTTTTCCTTTTCAATAACTATTATCTTTTCACTAAAATAATTTTTTTAAATATATTTTCTACATTATAATGTATATACATGTAGATTTTTTACTAATTAGCCAGAATTGATTTTATTAAATCTATCTATTCCAGTACATAGTAGATCTGAACCTATTAGTTTATAACCCAAAAAAAAAAGTTAGAACTTAAGAATAAGCCATTGGAAATAAGGAACAAGGTCAATGATAGAATGACAAAAAAGTAAAAATAAAGAGAGATAAAAAAATAAAACAACCTTGAGTAGTTAGAAAATGGTGTAAAAATGATAAACAAATGAAAGAACAAATTCTATAAAAAAATTAAAGTACAACAGATGGAGCAGAAAAGACAGTATTACTAGGTTGGAAGAACAACAAAACAAATCAAAAATAAAAAAAATCTCAACTTTTTTGTTATCATAATTATCTTGTTAATTATAATTAAGTTATTTTTTTTAGTTATACCAGCTTTCTCCTAAAGCATCAATTTATAAATATAAAGATATATATTTATGTGTTTGTGTGTTCACTAATATACCAATCTATTAAAAATTATGTTTTGGGTAGTGCCAGTCCTCTTCCAAACTATAAATGTACTAATTGATTTGCATCTTCCTTAATCTCCAACAGTTAAAATATTGGATTATTTCATAGAAGTTAAAAAACTATACAATAAAGTTCATAAGTTTATCAAGAAATATATTTTCCTCATAGCAATTGTTAAAACTGTTATCTCTCTAGTCATTTCATGAACGATAAAATGTTTCTATACTCTACCGATCATACTGACAATATTCGTTATTTTGAAAGAAATTTGATGTGTTTGGCCATATTAGATTACAAGCAGCAA